TCTCAGTTTGCTGGTATTTGTAATGTCCCAGCACATCAGAGGCCTACAGCAGCTTAGTTTATACTTATTTATGATTTGGTCCAGAGCTTGTGGATATCAAAGGAAATCTTTCCATCTGCCTTCAGCGTGTCTGGAATTAGGCCCTTATGTCCTACCTGCACTTCATAATCTGAGTTCATTCAGCACCTTCTTAAGTGAGAAATTTTTCATCTAGTGCCTTAAATCACACTGTAGAGGGTACAGCACCATCTTGTGTGCACCAGTGGTATTGCAGAAATATCTCACATTGGTGAAAGGCTTGCAAGGCCCAGCCTGTGTGGCCTGTATGATCCTTAGGTTATGTTACTTCCAATTGAAGCTTAATTATACTGAGGGCTTCTGGAAATGTGACGCCTGAGCCTACAGTTTGCTACCGGGTCAATATTGTACATATGGGTACCACTGATCCTCCTTTCTCCCTTCCCCAAAGCAATGCACTGCAGCACTCGCAAAGCCCCAGTCTGCAGGGGGAGAGGAATCTGTAACTACAGACACCCTAAAAGAAAACCAACTGGCCTTTCATTTTTGAGAAATCCAGTGCTTCTGTTTTGTGGAAAGGGAGCAGCAGCGGGATGGAAATTCTAGCTATGCTACAGTGTATGAAAAATGGGTCAGGGATTTAGCTGGGGAAAATCGCCCAAAGGAGCCATGTAATTAAGTGAACTACAGAACAGATCGATAAACTATGCGCATATTGTTAGGCGCATTCAGCAAAATGCATCTAGGGCAATAGGAAGGAAATGATTTATTCATTCATATTTCATTAATATTATATCTTCGCTATTTAGAGTGAATGAAAAGGTGCCACACTGGGAGCCTTTGTGTCTTCAGCCCTATATTTATCCCCATAATAAGTACAGCCCAGGTGGTAACAATGCAACCCTTCCTTAGATCTCCCCCTCTTCTCCTTCCCTCCCTCCCCCATCATTGCCACAACTAGCTTTAGACTTGAGAAGGGAGTTTAGTCCTCAGGGCTTGATTAATCCCATCTCTCCAGCACTCAGAATGCCCAAAATGGGGCAATTAATCCCAGGTTGTGATGAGGATGCCTATAGACCAGGGTTGAGATGGATCCACTCATTGTGTAAAGCCTGTTGATTAGCTGTCACATAGTGATAACTTAAGCAGTTGAACCATCCCCCAGGAGGGTAACAGCTGTGAAACCCAATCACCTTGCCCTCAACCATTAACTTAATGTGTAGTCTAAAAGGGATGGCCGCGTTTGTCTGCGTCTGCATCTGTGTCTGCAAAAGCGACAAGGAGTCCTGTGGCACCTTAGAGACTAACCGATTTATTAGGGCACAAGCTTGTGGGTAAAACCCACTTCATCAGATGAATTGGAGTGGAGGGAGGGATAGCTCAGTGGTTTGAGCATTGGCCTGTTAAACCCAGGGTTGTGAGTTCAATCCTTGTGGAAGCCATTAGGGATTTGGGGCAAAAATTCATCAGGCGTGGTACTTGGTCCTGCTGTGAAGGCAGGGGACTGGACTCCATGACCTTGTCTTTTGATGGAGACATTAAAGGCTTCCATCTTTACATTTTCTGGTGGCTACTATATGGGTGGATTTAAAACAAAACTGGCAGGTTCCCAAACATGGGGGAAAAAAAAAAAAGGCAGCATGCATGTTGACAGAATATGGGTGCAGAAAAAGTACAACACCCCAAAACAGGCCTGGCAGTGTTCTCTCCATCCATAAAAGTGTCTATCATACACTGCATGAGCTATTGCTGAATGCATACTGGCAGTCACATTTATCAATATATTGTGCCTAGGTTGGGCTGTGGCTGATTTAGACACTAAGACACTAGCCCTCCCCCAGCTGCTTCCTCCACTCTCTTCCTGTCCTCCCCATGTGTGGAGGGGTGTCAACAGGCCACTTCACTTTGATCCCATTTTGTTGTCTTAACTACTTAACACATCTGTTGTATCTTGTATTTAGTAGTGACAGTTTTCTACACCTGAAGGTGAGCTCTGTGAAAGCTCAAAAGCTCATCTATTGCAACAATAAAAGTCCAGTAAAAGATATTACCCCACCCACCATGTTACCTCTAATGGAGGCTGAAATATTCACACATCTAGATACGGCTACACTTAAATGCTGCATCAGCACCAGCTCCACCATTCTAAGCCAATGGGAGAGAGCTCTGTTGTCATCTTAGTTAATCCACCTCCCTGAATGGCAGTAGCAATGTCAGTCTTACTGTCATAGGACTGTCTACACAAGGGGGCTAGATCGGTATAACACATTTGTTTAGAGGGGTGGATTTTTCATAGCCCTAAGGGAAGTACTTATGCCAGTATAGGACTGTAGCATAGATCAGACATTATAGACACCGGCTCAAATGTAATGGTTATCACACCAGACATGCTAAAAATACAAGGGGATAGGATCCAAAAATCAAACAATCAAATAGGGCTAAAGTAGCGATAGTAACTGGGGAGCCACACACCTGTCCAAAAATGGGTAAATCGGGTTTAAAACATCACATATCTAGAACTGGAGCAAGATGTTTGGATAGATGAGAATGGATGAGCTTGGTTACTGACGTCGATCTTACCATAGCCACAAATGATGTCCTTCATCGGCCATCTTACAATTCCTTTTCAGTTATGGTGTGTGTGTGGAGGGGGGGGGGGATGACTACAGAAGCAATCATAGCTCCCTAGGAAAGGAAAATGGGGAATGATTGAGAACTGCTTTGAGAAACAGCATCCAGAAAAGAAAAGCTGTACAGCACTGACAGCAGAAAACTGATATTGGAGGAAGCCAGCTCATCAAAGAGGTGCTTCCCCACTTGCTGATTTCATAAAGAGGAAGGAGTCATTACAGATGTCTAAGAAAATATATCAGGAAGAGTAAATTGAAATTTCTAGTAGATCTTGGACCAGATCTGTCTTTCTAGTTAGGAAAAAAAATATGGTAGGACTAGATTTTGTGTGGCCCATAGAAAAGTAAGGATATATCTACACAGGTGTTTCCCAGTGCAGTTAAGCAGACACACCATAGCTGTAGTTGGGCTAGGGTGCTAAAAAGAATGGGACTATGGCTGCATGGGTGCCAACTTGGGGTATACACCCGACACCATACGCAAATAGTCAGGCAGTTGTACTGAGGCAGTTAGCCCATGCCACTGCAGCCCAACTGCTCTCGAGTGTGCTCACTTGGGCAGAGCTAGCATGTATGAGTTTTTCAGAGGTGAGAAGCACCCTCCTAGCTGCTGTGTAGACTTACTGTATCTAAAAGAATTTGCATCTATTGCCATGAATGGAATAAAATCCTGGATGATGCAATAATAGTACCTAGATCTTATGTATCAGAGGGGTAGCTGTGTTAGTCTGAATCTGCAAAAGCGACGAGAAATTCTGTGGCACCTTATAGACTAACAGATTTATTGGAGCATAAGCTTTCGTGGGCAAAGACCCACTTTGTCAGATACATGTAGTGGAAATTCCAGAGGCAGTATAAATATACAGGCATAAGAAAAGAGTTCCAATCAAGAGTAAGGCAAGAGACAAGGAGGTCAATTCAGTCAGGGAGGATGAGGCCCACTTCTAGCAGCTGATGTGGAGATGCATCTGACGAAGCGGGTCTTTGCCCACGAAAGCTTATGCTCCAATAAATCTGTTAGTCTATACGGTGCCACAGGACTCCTCGTCAAATTTAACACTGTTTCAAATCATTCAAAACTACCATGCATGCAGTCTTGATCTCCCTTTTCCCATTACAGATCTGTACCTATAGGGCTTGTACCAGATGGCTACAACTTTGTATACACCCATGGTTGCCTTCTGCATAGCATAACGGAACATACACACTCCACAACCTCACACAGCATCTTCAGTTTTATTTTGAAATCCTTAATATGCAAGTCCCCATACTGCGGAGTATCACTGTCTTACTTGTTGCCTGATTTGCTCATTTCCTTATCCAAGCAGCTGACTTTAAAGCGTTGGATTTTCTTCTCTGGACAGGTATTCATGTTCCCTAAGTCTTTGCTGAAGCTCATCTTTGTTAAGCTAGTTCTAAGCTGACCAAAGCCTTTTGGAGTTTTTCTGTTTCTTTTAACAGAATTTTGGATTATGGCAATCAAGCTGCTGTTCACCTCTTCAGTCAGGGCTGGCAAAAACAAACTGTACATTTCATACGTAGGTTCCAAAATCCCTCAAAGACTTTGTAGTTTCTGATTCAACGTAGTTTTTATTTCCAAATGTCTGGATTTGATCTCTTCCGTCAGGACATCTCAATCCTTCCTGAGACATCTCCAGAGAATTTTAATTCTTCCTGGCCTGTTCTTAGAGCTTCTGGGATAGCTTTGATTTCTGTAAGCACCTCACTTTTTCCATCTGTATTGAAAAGGAACACCAGCTCATTTTCTCTTCTTAGAAATTTAACCCTGCCGTTGATACCAATATCGACCTTTGGCCAACCGATGGCAGAATTTGGGGTTTTGTAGCAGTTTCTGACATTGGAAAGAAATCCATGTCTCAAAAGTCAGGTCAATTATAATTTTTTATTTACATAATGTACACAGTTCCTGTTACTCTGAAATCAACGACCCATCTGCATACAGGCAATGCTGGAATCCTCAGCTCAGTTGCCTTGGGCAGCCACCAGGATCAGCTGCTTCCGATGCTTTTCTCAGGGTTTCCAACCATCCTCCCAACTGCCATGAAGCCTTCCTCTCCTGGCTGCCCTTGAGCCCCACATTCAGCAGCCAGAAAAGCAGCACGAGTGTCACCCTCAAGAAGATTAATCAGACTCCAGTCTGCTGACCTACTCTTGCTCAAAAAATTCATCAAAGTTATACTAGAAGCCCTGTACTCAGTGTTTTGGGATGTGCAGAACAGGACAATGTCAGAGAATGTCAATTTCACTTGATTTTAAAGAAATAATTTACTCAGTTGTACTACGTGGAAAATTATTTTGTTCTGATTACCCAGTAAGTTCATTTTTTTTCAGCACTGGTTATAGATGTCAAACAATACGTAGAATAATAGGAGCTTGACTTCAGTGCCTACTACTGGATATGGGGTAAGTAGAAGACTTGTCTAATGCCCCTTCTTCCCATAGACATTAGTAACTTCCAGAAATTATGTCAACAGGCTAAATTAACACCTTATGTGTCCTTAGGCACAGCATCTTCAGCTGTAGGCAGGTGGAACACTAACTTTGGTGTTGCACACAGTTTGAGAGAGGTAAGGAACTCCTAGGCATATGCCTACTGTGCCAAACTGGAAATCTGGCCCTGACTGTAGTGTCTCTATGTTCAAAAAATTGCCCCCCCCCCCACCCAACAGAGCTAAAATATCATTTAAGCTGAGCATTCCATAATGCAAACAGCAAAGCAGACACCCATCTTTTAAAGAACCTCCTCAGTTCCTCAACATTTTTTATCCAAAGTCAGGCTGACCATCTCCCTCTGCAACTGTGCACCATGACACGTGACATCATTAGAGCATAGTACCATCCTATGAGTGAAGGAAAAGTCATGCAGTTAGCGTTATACTGCTGTGCAATGAACTGTGAGTTTGGTGAATCTAGTGATCCTACAGGCTAACTATCCTTAGGCACCATATAAATCCCAATAAGAAAAACTTTACTGCCTCCCTTCTCCTTGGCCAGCCAGAAGGTTAAGAAATCTCATCAGTGAAAGCAAGACACAAAACAACCCAAAAGGCAGAGGGTGAAAGTTAGCATGTTTCCCCTTCCCTTTCAGCAAACCAAGTTACACTCACAAAACAAAAGGAAACAAGGTTAAAATGAAGTTTATTAGTTTTTTGTTTTGTTTTTTAAGCTTTTTTTATATAAAACTGTTTGTGAAACAGCTATTTTATTCCCATGGCAGAGTGACCCCTGAAAGATGCACTAACCCCTTCTTAAGGCCTTAACAAGAGAAAATTTGTTTGTTTTTTTTAAAAAAACCTCAAACGCTTAAAAATTACACAATTTACAAAAAAATAACCATATGGTATAGGTTATTAAATTGACATTCTCCCTTCGTTTGGGGGAAAAACCCACAAAACCCAAAACAACCCACCCACACACTGAAAATGGATTAACTGAACTTTCCTGGACAATTTAGACACACATTGATTCCATCAACATTCAGACTTCCTGTTCAACTTCCCATCCTGGCAGACAAACGAACATCTTCCTCCAGCAGGCTTTCAAAATAGATGGCAGCCTTCTTGGAATGATTTAGGGGTGTACATCATTGCCAGGAATGGCAGAAACACCCTCTCCCCACCCACCAATGGGTGCAGACTAATTTCACCTCTATAAGGGCTGTGTATATTTGGCTAGCAGCAGCTACTTTTTACTTCAAAAGTCGCATGACCTAGGAGTCAGATGTTTTCAAGCTTCTATTTTGATTAACAATAAATAGTGTTTCTTGAAAATAAAATATTGTAAACTCACTCCCTACACATACACATACGAAAACTCATTGCCTGCAGCCACCCAATCCCTCCTTCCCACCCCACAGACAGTTTTGTAACAAAAAAGGATTTTTTGTTTTATTTTCTTTAAAAATTGAGTTCTTCTTCAGGGAGTTGGAGGGGAAGAGGAGGGAGACAAATCTAATTAATGGAGCACATAATTCCACTTCCTTTTCAACAGAAAGGGAACTAGTTCAGAAGCCTCATTTGGATTCTGGACTTAACATTTACTGTATTTAGAAGAAATTGTGACTTTGTGGTTTTAATATTGAATCAAATGCATAAAAAGGGATAGTGCACCTTTCATTTAAAACAAAGTCTTCCAAGACTAAAAAATAGATCTTTATATATATATATATAATTTTACCCCTCCCTCTTTAATTCCCCCCACTGTTTCCTCTTTTTCCCTCCCCTCCCCATTGTCACTATGGAGTTTGTGTCCATGGAAACAGCTGGTTCAGACTCCTTGGTCATATTCTGTGATGTTATCGATCTTGAGTGTGATGTAAGAATTTATGAAGGAAGTGCTGGCATTGGCAGGCACATCAACAGGGGGCAGGGCTGCACAGTGGGAGAGATTTCATTCAATCATGAAAGTCCACCGCTTTTTATCTCAACAGCCTAACCTGCAAAACAAAGTGAACACAGCAGTATTAGTATACTTAGTTACTCCTTGTAACAGCCACTAGGACTTCAGAGCAGCTTATCCAACAACCTTTCGTAGCAGTAATGCCAAGAGCTAAGTTTACAGAAGCATGATCTTGGTTATTTCTTTACAACTAATTTTATGCAGTGAAAAATGTAAGATTATAACCCCACAGACTTTAATCTGAAGAGGTACAACATTGCTAGACATGGAAGCATAAGGTTCCTCCACCACCTTTCATGCCACATCTCTCAGAACACAGAGCCACTTCCTGCAGTGAAGATCATTAATCCTTAGCCTGTTTGCCAGAAAATAGCAACAAAGGGGCCCAATTAGGATCAAGTATGATGATGGATCTGTGAAGTGACACCTGCCCACTAGGAACTGGACTGAGACTTCAACACATTTCATACAGACAGATCACCAACCAGCCATCAGATAGCAACAACTTTCAACCAATACAAACCTTGAACTGGAAGGAACTAATGACAGAATTAACAGGTTCTATATCCAGTAAATTAATTTCCTGATGTGACCAGTCCTCACTAGAGGGAGGATGAGCCACATTTTGTGTATAATTTAGTATTGCCTTATGCTGTTTTCTTGTTGTAGGTTTCAGCCTGCAGGGGTAAGTTTAGTGTAAGGAGTAGACTCAGGGTGTCTTCAGGCAAAACCTCACATTCTGGAATGGCCATTCCTTTTTTAGGATGTTTAGTATTTCAACTGCACAGATAAGAACACCCATACAGAACTCTAGGCTTTTAAGTAAAGTTGGGACAGAAGTAGCTCAAAACAGGAGTCGGTTTAAATTAAAGATACAATTCCTGTTCATTTTTCTAGAAACACCTCACTCTCCCTTAAGTTGCCACTGCTTAGAAAATTTGAAAGCGTTAAATGCTGTATTCCTTCCTGAGACCCAGATTTAGTTATTTTGCAAGTACAGCAAGATTTAGTTAATTTTGGAAGAATTAACACTCACACAGTAAAAGCTTTTTTTATCCAGCAAGTTGAGTGAGGGTATGCCAGTACCGAAAAATGCTGGTTAACTAAGATTGAGGGAATTTAGGTGCGGGAGGGAGCCCAGGCAGGAGGCTGGGGTGCAGGAGTGGTTTTGAGGTACCAGATCCAGGGACTATTCACACGGGTGGCTCCCCACCAGCAGTGAACAATCCCTGCTGGTCCTACTCAGAGTTGTCTAGCCACACCTCTGCTGTCTCTGCCCTCTCCCTCATCCCCCTGCTGGCTCCACAGCTCCCCGTAACCCATTAGTTGGGAATTGTGGCCAATGGGAGATGTAGCAGTGGCACTTGCAGGTGGAGGCAGCACTGAGACATGCCTAGCCATGCCTCTCCCAGGAGCAGCAGAGACAGGTTGCCACTTGGCAGGTTGCTGCCCAAGATGAGCACCCCCACATCCTTTCCATGCCTCAAATCCCTGCCAAGCCCCCTCATGCATCCAAACTCCATCCAAGAGCCTGTGCCATCTCCTGCACTCAGAACCCCTTCTGGCCGTTCCTCCATGTAGGAGCAGCAGGGACATATTGCCACTTCCAGGAAAGCCCACTAGCCCCACAGCAACCAGATTAGACACCAGACTTTCTTTATAGAGCTTTCTGATTGGTACAAGGCCGGATGACACAGCTTTTCCTGTATATCCTTTCCCTCCTCTTAAATGAGCTTAAATGTTTTTGAGCTGAATTCAAAAACAAAAAATGTGTGCTGAATATGTATACCGCAATTAATAGCATTAAAGGTGCATACACAAAATACACCACCTGCTGAAAATTACAATTCCAGGACTCTCAAATGGCTGTGATATGTACTAGTTTATTGCTAAAATTCTCACATGCAGCAATACAAGGATAAGGGCAATCAAAAAGACAGGAGGCAATATGCAAAAAATTACAGACTGTTCTACAGAGGAAATATCACTGAAGGAGAGAGAGGAATTCCTAGAAATAACAGCTCAGGCAGCCCTTGTTGGTATATTACTATGCAAGTGTGAGCCCTTGCTGAAAGAGTAAGCAAGCCCATGCTGCTGCCTCTGGCTTCTGTACAACTATGGCTTGCCCATGCTTGGAAGCAATCCAGAGAATTAGGCACTGACTCAGGGAAGAACAGCTCACCATATATAAAATCCCTCCCTGTTCCTGGAAAAATCCCAAGCACCAGGCACACTCACACATCACACTCTCCATATCTGGCATTGATGCAAAAGTTCTAGGGGCAAACTGCTCAGGAAGAGCAACAGCAGAAAGACACAATCCGCTACCATTCTTGCGCTTGATCCAGAATACTAGAGTGCAGGCTTCTTTTTCCCTTACTGGGAGCAAAAAGAAAGAAGCCAACAAAGAAAAAATTCAAAGCACCCCAACAGCCTGCACTCTAGTATTCTGGATCATTCCTTCCATTCTAGCATGGAACTTTACAAAAGCAGCAACAGGACGGATGGCTGCCCAACCGTGAGAAGACAGTTTCCCTAAACTATTCATGCCTATCACATTTATTCAAACTTACAAGTATAGTGTGATTGAGGGCAGGAGGGTTGTGGGGCCAAATTAGAGGAACCAATCCATAAAACATTCTCTACTAAAAATGTTTAGGGGCGGAGAGAGACACCAGTATCTCTATAACAGACATATGTGGGAGAGGAGAAGCGGTGGGGAGAAATGTGACACCCAGACTCAGGCACAGCATTCATATACAGGCAGTCCCCAGGTTACGTACAAGATAGGGACTATAGGTTTGTTCTTAAGTTGAATTTGTATGTAAGTCGGAACTGGCTCCAGATTCAGCCGCTGCTGCTGAAACTGACCAGGGGCTGACTACAGGAAGCTGGAGGCAGAATTGCTCTGCCCCCAGCTTCCTGGAAT